TACGACTGATACGCAGTGGCGTCGGGCACGAGCGATTCGATGAAAGCAGACACGGACGAAAAGCCGAGCGTGCATTGTTAATGAAGAAAGCAATCGGACCGGATGGAAGCGGACAGTCGTAAAACCACTGAAAGCATTGTAAATTGCAGCCGTCCCTCGGCTAGAAAATGATTTAATCCTTCGCGGTCGCATTCATTCCCGTGCTCGACGTCTTCGTCGAAATGTACATTAATTCCTCCAGCTGCTGAAAAACTGCCTCTCTCCCTTTCTCTTCTCTCTTTTTCTCTCTGTCTCGCTGATTCCCGTCGCTCGTGGCGATTCTACGAGCTCGAAGCTCGTAGCCGCTTATGAAAAAGATCAATGCTTCTAGTAGTACCTCCGGCACGCTCCATCGGTTTTTATTAACCTCGTTACTACGGCTCGCTACAGCGACTCTTCGCCCGGTGTTCGACGACTTACGCGAGAGACCTTTGGGTAAACGTTGGCGATCGGCAGGAGAAACGAGGCGAGCACCACTGGTCGTTCGCGGTTTCGGCAAGTGTATATAAATTAGCGCGAGTAACGCCGCGGCATTGAATCGGCTGATAAATTTTCGCGGTGCGTCCGACGTCACACCTCCCTTACACCGTGTACCCAGGAATCCCGTGCGCGCGGCCAACGATAAAAATAAGAGGAGAACGAAAAGCCAAAGGGAACGAGGTAGACACGAGAAGAGAAGAGGAAAAAAAAAAAAAAAGAAAAGGAAAGGGAGAAAAAGAAAATATATATATATATACATACATATAATGCGTGGTCGCGAGTCGACTGTTTGGCTCTCCTCCTGAGCACCTAAAGTTCGAATAATCGCGATCGTGGTATCAGCGGCTTACGAAGGATCCAACGAACGAGGTGCTCCGTGCTAATTACTTTTCTTTTGTTCCATCCAGCTGATGGTGATTTGATCTCTCAATATTCCGCTCGTGGATTAATTCTGCTTCTTCTTGGTGAATATTCGACGACTCGGTGCAACACGCGTCTACGTTTAATCGCGTGGGAATACCACGTACGCGTACGAGAGAAAGAAGGGAGTAAAATACTCGGTGACTGGTGGAAGATTGGGCTGGACAGTCGATTGTTTCGTTTCGTTTGATTTGCAAGTATAAACTGTCTGGGAAGACCGCGGACGGATGCCGAACGACGAAACGATGACCGACAACGTTCGTATTAACGGCACGGTCAATAATTCTCTTTGTTAGTACGTCTTTACTCTTCGCTGTCCTTCTCCGTCCCTTTCTTTCCCTTCTCTCTTGGTTCGTTTCCTTTCTTTTTCCCCTTAGCCCTCGCCCTCTCTCGGTTCATCTCGTCGTTCGAAGAGAACGAGCACTCCTTCTGTGTGCGACCGACACAGGCTTTCTTGTATGCAGGAATTCCAGGACCAAAAATATCCGAGCGATCCCTGTACGCCGCTCAGCGCAGCGGCGAAATCGCGGGCTTCGTGGCATCTTTGTGGCACCTTTGTGGCATATTTTCCTCCAGGCTTCGAAACGTTTCGCCTTCGTACGAACGCCATCTTAACCCCGGTTAACAGAATTATCTTTCTTTGGCTAACTGCGTCCATCCGCGCCCTTCTTCCCACTTTTGTTTTTCTTCTTCTTCTTTTTCTTTTTTTTTTCGAGTATCGTCATCACTCGCGGGCTGATTAAATCCCACCTCGAGGACCGTTTGAAAAAAGATTGCGCAAACGTTTCTGTAACCGATCGCTCGAGGTATGGCTGGACACGTTTGACGCACGTTGTGCTTCGTTCGCTATTCATCGTAAATACGTTTATATATCGGTTTATCGATCACAATTGGAAATATTAACGCGTATCCTCCGTGACGACGCGTAAATTTTCCCAGTATCCTCGAGAACCTCGAGCACGGAACCGCCGTATACAACTCAATCGAACCGAAAACTCCCGATCACTTCCGAAAGTCACTACTCACCTGCCGCTCCCTTCTGTCTATTATACTCTGGAAGAACATCGGAGCGACAAGGATTAGCGCCCTACAAGGCTGGGGATAAGAGATTGGGGAGGACGAGAGGAGACGAAAGGTAGGAAGGAAATACGAGGAATGGCGGAGCCATTTGACGCGTGCCAGGAACGCCAGTCGGATAGATTTATATTTACAATAGGCTTGTATTTATAACGACGCGTATACACGGGTAATCCTGCCTAAGCACTTTGTCCGTCAAAGTGGCGCGAGGTTTCACGCACTCTCGGTTGCATGCTATAACCAGATTACCTTCACCTCAGTCCAAACTCTCCGTCTCCTTTTCTACATCTATACAGTTCTGACTCTGTTAGGAATAACTATAAATCATGTTTGCTTATGGTGTCGATAAGGTAGCATGCGATCTATGTATATATACATGTATATGTATATAGAAGACCGCATCATGAAAAAAAAAAAAGAATATAAAACAGTACAAGGCTACTACGTATCGTATAGATATCAGAGGAAAGTGATTGTAAGCTATAAAACTCCTTAAAAAACCGAATATCTGTGTTTTATAAATGCTTCGATTTCCACGCTCCGTAAAGGTTCGCACAAGGCACGAAGACGTGCCCTGTCGTTCCCGAGGGAGGAGGCGCGAGCGCTGAAATCGGAGGAAGGACAGGAAGCCTCCATCGAATGGAAGGAGGAACGTGTTTCCGCGGAGGCGGCACGCGGTCAGCGGAGAGAGCGCGATGACTGCGGTTTCGTCTAATGGATCGTTTCGGCCAAGCGAACCGGCACCCACCACCGATGGGAAAGGAATTAATCGCGACGATTGTTTCACCGAATCGCGCTTGATAACAGACGCGGCCGCGATTCCCTGTTGTTTCTGTCGCGTTGGTCACGCTAATGGCCCTGTTTAATTTCGACACGATCACTGCCAACGACACGACGACGACGACAGCAGTTACGAATTTCGCAACGACGAGTTATCTCGCGTCGAAATCAAGCAAGAAAAATCGACAGAAAAAAAGGGGAGTTTTTCTTCTACTTGCGCCATTCGCCATCGGTGAATATCGTCTCTGATACGATACACGAAGCGTTTCACGAAGTCTGTCAAGAATCGCGTAGGTACGTCGCGTGGCGAACGGATACTATTAATTGGAGAGTGAAAGCGGCACCGGCAGCAGCAGCAGCAGCAGCAGCAGCAGCAACAGAATTTCAAATGCAAATGAAAACCTATTAGAGCGTTTTATGTAGATACGGTTAGCGAAGGAGCAGCGGCGCTCGGTTGGCTCGGCCTTCTAATCGACCGTTTCGGTTTAATTGACCCACATTCCCCTGTAATGTCGCGCGCGCTTTATTAACGGCGCATTAATTATCTGCTCGGACGGATTATTTAAATATTTACGCGATATCCGTGGCGCGTTGTCGTGTACCGACACACAACCGACCGCCGCGAGACGGATTTAAAAAATTACCTCGGTACGCGCCGGCCTGCCCACCGCGCCACCACCACCCGCATGCACGTCATAAATCTTAAAAACGGTGCAATATCATGAAACGCTAATGAGGACACCATTGGGACATTTTATATTCATTTCGCGGAATTAGTCTTTCGGTTGCATGTTTCTGAAGCTGGAAACAGGGTGATGGATAGTCTCGGGCGCGATAATAAAAATCTTTGTGTCGAGAGCGTGAATTTTAACCTGCGCATTGGGAGGGGCAGGGAGGGGGGAGAGGGCTCGTTCTAGTTTTTGCGGCGAGGAATTTTCTCGCGATCCGCTTGAAAATTGACACAATTTGCACCCTCGAAGAGCGTCCATCCGTTGCGAGTTAAAGTCGTAAGAAAAACAAAAAAAAAAAAAAAAAGAAAAATTAACGGAACGTAAAAATCCAAAAAGAGAGTGGATCAATTTTCGGAGATATTTTGTCGGATAATTCGTTCCGAGCAATCTCGCGTCGATCGTCGTAAAAGTTTGCTGCAAGTGTGAAAGGGGGAGAGAGAGAGAGAGAGAGAGAGAGTAAAAGAAAGGCAAATTCCTCGGACTCGACAAGGCAAAGGCAGTTTCCGCGATCGGCGCGTTCGAGCGTGCGCAGAATGTCTCGTTCGCACCGGTAAACCTCCCTCGACGGTGGCGTGCAAACGATGCATTAACGTACCGACACAATCCACCGGCAAATGAGAAGCCCGGCTCATGGTCCCTACGTGCTGAATGAGCGAGCGCCGCCGCGCCTGATGGACTCTAAACACGCCTTCGAAATTTTGCGATTCCGCGAACATTGCCGGTCACGCCGCGAGCACACTGTCGGCCGTGTGCCTCGCACGATCTTGGTCTCGTTTTTTCGGGTTCTCGGCCAAGGAAAGAGATCGTCTCCCCTTCGACGTGCGCGCGTCGTTCGACCGGCTCGCGGTTACTACGGGATTGAAATATTAATTACGGGATTATGCAGAGGAGTGCGTTTAATAGGCTCTTATTTGCCATCGTTACTCGTCCATTTATTGGTCGGTATAGAATTACGGGCGTCTGTCGCCGCCGTCCAACGATTTATACCTCGTTCTTTTGCCTTTTAATCGTTCGGCGTTGCGCGGCTCCGGCGGAACAATGAAATCGATCACGCGCGGATGAGACAGGAGCCCGTGAGCGGGTAAAAGCCAGGGCCGAGAAGCCCCGCTGGCGCTCCGGCCAACAGTTTCGTGTGTCGAACGGTTAATTTTTGCGAAGGCAGTGAGAGAGAGAGAGAGAGAGAGAGAGAGAGAGAGAGAGAGAGAGAAAGCGCTCACCTCGATTCTTAATCTATAGCAAAAATTACATGCAATTACCGCCGCCACCCAGCGCGCCGGCATCTGCGAGTCGAAGGTAGCCGGCGATCGCGTGATTTGCACGTCCATCCGCCTTTAGAATGTCGAAGGCAGCAACAACGCCCGGTGCGAGCACCAAGTATCGTCGGGGCCCAACTTCTCGAATATTGCCGCGTGTCACGTTTCCCTTTTCACGTCACGGCACAAGGAAATAATAACACGCCTTTGAAGTACTTACACTCGAAATGATACATTGGCCAGCTACGTATAGCTTCATCGGTTTTCCCTGCAAAAATACAACGTTACGTATGTACTTGCTTATCGTTGAAGCGGGAGGCGAGCCGCGCAGATTGCATCGCGTGATTATCAAGCCTCGAGCTTCAACAAACTTCGATTTCTCTATCGTCCATTTGTACGCGCGATGATTCAGCGCTCGCGGCTTTGCTCGAATCGAAACGTGCCCTCGGCAATGCCGGTTTCGCGCGAATTAGCATAAATTAGCCGGACGCGTTTCTACACGATCGCCGTCTCGCGCATAAGTTTTTCTCACTTTCGCGACACTTTTCTCCTCGATCTATCAGACAAAATCGACGAAATTTCGCCGCGAATAAAGTCTCGTCGATTGTGAAAAGTCGATTACATCATCGCGATTTCTCTAAAAGCGAAACGCTTAATAACGAGCGACGACAAACCTTCGGTTGACAGACCGCGAAACGCAGGATCCTTTTCTCATCGCGGGGATTAGCGGGGCATTGAAACCGCGACAATACGCGCCGCGGCCGTATTGTACGGTTAATGCCTATCGCGCAGACACGCGTACCTCTCGCCCTTACAAAATTAATTCCATTCGTCGGCGAACGATGAATCGCGGCGAGAGCGCGGGGAGACCCGAACAATTATTCCCGCGCAACTTATTATCGGAGCCGGTCGCGCACTGCCATTGGCCAGACACGCGCGCGTACACGAGAACACTTTGCGAAATGAGTTCACACGACGCTTCGCCGGAGATCGGGGCGTTGAGTCGAGCCGAGTCGAGTCGAGTGGCGGACAAGGAGCGAGAGAAGTCAGAAAGGAAATAGCCAATCAGGCAAATGAGGACACAAAGGCGCGACGGGTCTCCTCGTCGTTAATTGGCATACGTTAATTAATACACGTCCTCTTTGTTGCTGCGTTACATCGTCGTCTATGTGTCGGCGAGGCCGATTCGCGAGCCAGCGGCTCGAAACTGCACGCGATACCCGATCGTATTTCTTCGATATTGTTTCCCGAAATTGTCTCACCTCTCTGTCCCCTCTGGCCTCTCTGCCTGCACGCCTTTAATTAAAGCATCATCCATATTCATAAACATAAATTATTGTCTCACGTGCGTGCGCGCTCGCTCGCTTGCTCCCTCCGAGCCCGGAGATCCTCGGTGCTTCACTTTTTCTTCTCTTTCTCGTTCTCCGTTTTGATTCGTTGATGCGACGCCCTTTGGGGGAGGGGGGGGGGGGAAGGCTGCCCGTTGATCGAGCAATTTCTTTCGAAACGCATTAAACGCGACTCTGTTGTCGTTATGTCAGTGGTGTGTAACTTTTCGCCGATAATATTCACCGGATGCTCTACTGCCAAGTTATGCTGCAATTGTGCCCAACTGCAAGATCCCTCCGTTCCTGACACGCAATAAAACCATCCCTGTTCGCGCGTTCCTCTCCTCGCGACAATCACGATATAACGCAAAGTACCATACCCAACTCTGACACCATCCTAAATGCAAACCGCCGAGGGCCAAACAGGTTGGGCTCGAGCCCCGTGGAACGAGGTTAATTCGGTTCGAAAGATCCACCGGAACCCGCGAAACTACGTACAAAGTAACACAAAGCGTCGAAAAATCGAAACCGTTGAAAAATCGAAGGTCGACGCGGAGGACGGGGGGCGAGGTCTCGACCGTAGGACGAGTTCAGCGAAATTTATCGATCGCTGGGAACGCATCGCGAGACCTTGTACTCCGTTTACATGCTCCGTCACAATATTCATCGTGGCTGCGGTTAAATCATTCGATTTTTATCAGGCCGATGTGCCTCTTCGTGTGCAGGCCTGGTTGGTAAATGGCTCCGGTGGTAATGGGCCCGGTAAGAGAGAAACAGAGAGGATATACGCGCGCGTGAGCGCGTGTACCGGCCACGATCACGGAATCGAACATTTTCATGCGTGCGACTCGCGCCGAGGCCGCATGTGTATACGTGTTAATACGGTGATTTAGGGCTTAACGCGTAGATCCTTCGGTGCGCGCGGAGAACGCGAAGTTGAGGAGCGTAGCCGTGCGTGCGTGGGTCCGTTTAACGTGTAACGCCGCCAGAACACCAGGGCATTGGTGGTAAATAGGTGATGGTGGTTTTGCGCCGGACGACGACGGCGGCGGTGGTGATAGTGGTGGTGGTAAGACACCGGGGTGACAAAGCATTAATTAAGTCGTACACGTTTATCGGATATTCCGGCGTTGGCTTATGAGCCACGGCGAGCGGCCACAGCCAACGGAGAAAATCGCCCGATATAACGCAACGCTGATGAAATATGTCGCCGGTGGAATGACAGTGCCTCGTAAAAGGCACCGAGATTAAACTTTACGAATGAATAAGAAGAAAAAAAAAAAGAAGAAGAGAGAAAGATTTATATGATCGAATGTATATCAGCGGAGATAGTTTATCGTGGCTGACGATCGTTTAAATCGCGCGGGCCCCTGCCGTTTCGCGGCCGTTCGACGAGCGAAATTTTTTCCCCTTCTCGTTATATTAATGGAACGTGCGTGTCCGATCAAAGGCCAGCAATATACGAAACGTGGATTTTCCTCTCTCTGTTTCCTAGACTATCCAGCTCTGGCTGGGATACTCCTGTTGATAAAACCGTAACGATAAGTATCATCTCGTTAATTCTTCGGCTGATAGGTCGTGCCTGTAACTTCTTAACGATCCCCCCCGGACTTTGTAACTTGGTTAACGAGGTAACTTGCGTTTCAACTAACGCGAGATTATTTTTTTGCTCGTTCGCGTTCATACTCTACAACGTGTTTCGCTTGTCTTGACCGCTCCGAGCAGTTTTCTAACGCTTCTACAAACTGTCGAACAAGTAATTTGCTTCGAAAAGATAAACGTTGCCGTTAACGACATTTATATTTTATCCCCGTACGACGGTGATTAAACGCGACGATGCGCGTTCATTATTACGGTGTAACGTACGGAAAAAGGAACAAAAGTGTGTAGGTATCCGAGCGTACAATGTGCAAATGCACAAGGGGAGAAAGAAAAAAAAAAAAAAAAAAAAAAAAAACGGAAAGAACTCGTTTTCCGCGAGGCGTCGCGTCGTTTTCGCTCGCGCCCGCTCGAGGTAGATACACGAAAGACCGAGAGATGATTCATTTACATATTATCGCACGCATTCGCACGATAATTGCCGAGCTTTTTAATCACGTACCCGGCACTCGACGACCCAAATTCGCCGAGATAGAACGAACGGACCGCCGCGCGCCGCAGCAGCGGTGGACTCTCGCTGGTAAAAGTTTGACAATTCGAGAAATTCGAGAGGCACCGTTCGCGGAATACATTTCTGACATGCCTTTTCGTACGCGAAACGAAATCCCCGGGATAAAATAGTTTCTCGATGAGCGCGCAACTATGAATATGGAGGAGCGGTTTTCCTTTCTCGATCGTCCGCGAACGAAATAAACTAATTGAAAAGTTTCCCTCTTCCTCTTTCTTTTCCTCTTTTCCTCTCGAGCGCCCGCGTTTCGCGCCGCTATGGACCTTCCCGTAATCGAGTAAAAATTCTCCCCACGCTCGTCTTCGAAAAGATCGTTCGAAACGTGCGACGCTCCGCGGAGAAGGACGAAATTCCATATCGCACAAGTCGAAATGTTAATTGCAAGACGAATCGAGTAGCTTCGATGTTAAATTAAATCGATGTCGAATCAATGTCATGGCCGCCTCGGTGTCACGAAATGACAGATCGTCAAAAAGAAATTCAATTATTTCCGGCGCTGGCAAAAGGGAGACGTTAAACTAGGTTTTCCGGGGCGACCGGGGCCGCTCGTCTATCGATCGTTAGAAATTTTCGCTTTAGGTACTTGTGCAATGTTAACTTCGTTAACTGTCCCGTGACCGGCCGTCGTGGCCCACGACTCTTACGCTGATGAAGGGCTCTGCCTAATGAAAGGGTTGTGTGTTTGATACCCTTAAGAATTGAATTACGGCGGGACGGACGGCGGAGCCGGTAGCCATTTCGAAAAGAATAGGATCCGAGCGAGGGCGAATTTATCTTTCTTGGTATCGTGATCTCTCATCGGCCGTGTATGTGCTTCATGACGTCGTTTATTTAACTACGCTTATTTATACGATGCGATGTATACATTCTCTTTCTCCTACATCTTTTTTTCATGTCTCTCTCTCTCTCTCTCTCTCTCTCTCTCTCTCTGTTCTTTTATTCTCTTTTCACGGGCGTTAAACTAAAGGATGAAAGGAAGGGCGTAATTTCGCGAGATGGGAGCATCGAATGGAACATCTGGAGAACCGCGTTGAAACACAAAGTAGAGACTTGCACGTGAAACAAATTATTGATAACGAAAGTCTAATCAAGATTTAGCGAGGTTTAAAAGAGGGGTTTGATAAGATGACTCCAACTTATGCGAGACTTCTTCGCAATAAAATCACGAAATATTGTACACAGCGCCGTAGGTCGTTCGTTTCTCCAGTTATCCGGTTATACGCTCTAAAATGCTCTCAAAACGTCGCGTTACAACACCACATTAAATACAGCTTGTCGTAACGTCAACGCGCGCGCGTTTCAACGATCATTCGGCAGTTTTCGCTCGTAACGCGTAATTCCTATCGACGTAAAATAAGTATATATATATATATATATATATATATATATATATATATATAAGAAGAAAATATGAGATTTTGCTCCAGAACTATTGAGTTTGCTTCTAAGATTGATACTTATTCGTAAAGCTCGAGGAGAAAACTTTTCTGTCAAGCATAAGAAAACGTTAAAACAACGAGACAAGCGTGTCTAAATTATTAATTTAAATTGACACGATTGTTATTAACAATAAGGTATTATATTATTATCGTTACGAGTTCTTCGTTTCTAAATTACTCTTTTTTCACTTTTTACAGAAAGAAAATTCGTTGCGCGAGTTTTCGTTCACCGAAATTGCCTGTATGATTGAAATTTTCAGCGAATAATTAGCTGTTACGCGATTCACCGTTGCACGGGACTCGTATCACTTTTTTTTTTTTTTCAGAGGTAGAG